GGAAAGGGCTCATTGGCGTTTCCTAAGCAAGCAAATGCAAGACATTAGCCCTCCCACACAGCTGATTCATGCCATTAACTGTGGATCTCAGTTATGCCAGCTGATCTGTTGAACACAGCCATCTCTTTGGTGACCAACCATAAAGAGAAACAGAACAATTACAGTAGCTCAGAGCATGGTATTCAGCGCATTAAGCTAAGGAATGATAAGTCATAAAGATCTGTACACTCCAGTGCCTATTTCATTGTGTTGGTGATAAATTATGCTGACTCTTGAATGACATAAGGCTTATGAATGAGCCTGGTTGCTTTGAAACACCAGAAAAAAACACCATTTTCTTCTTTTTATCCTACTCTACATTTTTCACCTGCTGCCACAATCAAGCCATATTGACTTCACATATTTTTCATCTGACCATCAAATAATATTTACCATTCATTGTTTTTCTTTTTTCTTACTGCATGATAAGAGTGGGAGGAGGTTGCATGTTCATTTTTCTGTTTCAAGCATTGTCGTTTTTAATAAGACTCATCAATCTGATCTGGTTGTTTTATTATTTAACTTTGTTCCATAGTGAAGTCTGGCAACATGTGGGTGTATATCTAGGGTTTTTTCGACTCTCAATCTTTTAATTTGCAAGGAGGATTTCATCCCTAGGAAAACCTGATTGCTTGTGGGATGGATGTTTCTCAGAAACAAGGTTGACTAAGCAGAAAAAGCAGCAACTTGCAGGAACACCAGTCTCACTATAGACCAAGTAATACAAATTGGAGCTTGCTCTTGAAAATTAGTCATTTTATAAGATACATTATTTTCTTTACCACAGAATGGGAAAACTAAAAACATACTTCTGCCTCACCCTCACTCAGCCTTGCACCTCCTGTGGGGGAGCATTATAGCTTGTTTTTCTTATAATCCACAAAATTAAGGTGAGGAAACTGAAGACCCTGGGACTGTGGAGGAATTGCTTGCTTCTGTTGGTAAATTAATTTTGTAATAGCTTGTTGCTCTGGACATATCTCTTTTTCATCTGCACTGAAGATTAGGCTCCAGAACTTTGTCACTGCCTCGTGAAATGTCACTGAACAGATGGTGCTTTCCACTGTTTTCTTGATCAGCACACAATCTGTCAAAGTGCTTACACACAAGTTTACCTTAAGCACAGCAGAACTCCCATTTGTATCAGTTTTGCAATCAATGCTTTAGAGATTTTTAAATAGTCCTACCAGCCATGGAAAAAGTTTCCTTAACATTTAGTACTCAGTTACATCTAAGTTCACTAGAAAACTCATTTAAACCTTTGACTGCAAAGAAGCTGCTGTCAAAATCCCTTATTTGGGAATATACTTCAGTATGGGTGACTGCAGACACTGGCAACAGCTGAACAGAATAAAGTAAGAACGGTATGAAATCATGCAGATCAATGATAATAGCAGTCTCTCCATAAATAATGAAGTCTTTAGTAAGCATATGTAAGATTTATGGTGGTTCCATGATTTTTTGCATATGCAAAGATTGTAGAAGTGTTTGCAGTCTTTTTTAAAACTTGGCTTTCTGACTAAAGGAAAGCTTTCTGGTTTTCTTACTTTTAATTTTTTTACAATTTTTTTTCTTCCCTCATACAGTCAGAGCTACACTCTTAAGACATCAATTGAAAAAAGCACTTTAGGGAGTGAAGCCACAGGTCTTATTACAGATCAGTAACTTCATGATACTACATACAAAGAAAATTCCCTGCTGAAACATGAAATCAGTTCTTAAAATAAGGAAGGACACATTTTCTAGCATGTATTTTCATAACAACCATGAAAATTAACTAACTTCATCTCAACTTTACTTTACATTAAAACTTTAAAATCACAGCCTTTTCTTCACCACAGTCAGTTTTAGGTATATCATATTAGCTTAGAATTTAAATTATCTTCTCTAACACTGCTTTCCTCTTCTTCAATATATTCTTTTATTCTTTCCTTTGATTACACCACTCGGAAAGCAAAATTTTGTATGATTAAAAACATGCATTTAAAGCAGTAAGAAACAGTTGCAGATAATGAAAAAAGAGAAGTAATACCGCACTGAAATTATTTTACTTCAAGGCAGAAGATTTATCAGAGTATTTCTCTGCATTGGATGCCAGTTTAGTATATATTATTTTCTGGATTGTATCATTACGCAGTGAGATTATTTGTCTCCTGTCCAGTGTTAGTCAAAACAACATGAAACACTTTATGTATTCATGGACAAAATATATTGTGATATTGATATGTTGAAATGACACCTGTGATTTTATCAAAATAAACACGATTCTTGTGTTCTGTTCCAGGTCAGGTCTTTCCACAGTAGTTATTTTGTCATAACCTCTTAATTGTCATTTTTATCCTTCATGCCATACTCCCTGTTGTTTCTTCAATCCAGTCTGTTGCCACACAATCTTGTTGAAGTAAGGAATATACTGTTTATGTGCTTTTTCATTATAAGCATTAAGTGTCCAGTACGTTGTAGCTCAGCAGTGGATCTCTACAAAAGGGTGCAAATGAAACATTTCAACCGTTAGATGAAATAGCTGAAGGGATTACACACAGAAAATGTGCAAAAATGCTGTTTCAGTTGCACTTACAGCCACAAACTGAAAAAAACCTGAACCACTATAGTTCAATCCTGTCTTGAGTATGGTATGATGTAAAATTGTCTTTAGTGTGCACCCAAAGAGGACTTAGGACAGATTCTTAGAATGATAGCATAGGATTTCAAGAAAATGCTGATATTTTGACAATTTCTACCAATCAAATCTGACAAATACTGGGTCCTGTTTTTCCTGGGAGAAGTTTTATATATGCTCAAATTCCTTAACATGAACAAAATTTTATCTGCATTCTCTTGCTTAATCATTTTTAAGAGCCAAGTGCTCCAGAAGTTTTCTTCTGCTCTCATTTTCTCAAGGTTTTCTGTACTCTCACACTAAATCCTTGAAGAATCCCTGTTGTGGATTTTCTGTTTGTTTGCAATTTTTAGTGGGTTTTGTTTTGTTTTATTTTTGTTTGGTTGGTTTGCTTTGGTTAGGAAATTTTTAACTCAACTCTTACAAGGTGACTGCTATGTTCGTACAGGAACTACATGTGTGTGAAATGTTAGAAACCATAATGTATTTCCACAACTCCACGAAAAGATAAAAACATGTTAAAATATTCATCTTAGATTCACTGACTCTAAATTTGGATTACATGAGAATTGTCTATCAAAGGAGTGTCTTTACTAAATATTTATCATCTCCAATTATTGAAAGAATTATTCTTGTCTGAGTAGGAACGAGTTTTGGTGGTCAACTGCCAACATCTATTTCAAATCTCTCTGTCTAGTTTCAGTGCATGTGCTCCAGGCATGGAAATGTTGAAATTTTTCACTAAAGTAACTGAAGTAAGTTTACAAATGGACAGAAAGGGTTATTTTTCTCTTAAATTTACTATTGGCCAACAAAAAAGCAATTATAGGGAGCAAATCTTTAGAGGATTAGGCCTCAGATTGTGTAGATTTCATCATTAGTTTTTGGTCTGTTGTTTTTAAGTAGGATGAAACCCTTAGCTTTTGGTCTGAATAATCCTCTCATCGCTCATCAAAAGGGGCTTTTACAAAGTATCTAAAATAACATATATTGATAATATGTTTTTTTCAATTTGTTTTTTTCCACACAAGAGAACCACTAATAAGTATTATGACTTATTTTTGTACCAATAGTTTTTAGCAAATTCAACAAATGAGCCTTAATTTGAACCTGATGTGAGGGTAGAATCTGCTGACATGAATCCCCACAGACCCAATTTAATCTTCAAAGGGATTAAGATATATCAAAATAAAGTTATGATGCTACATGTTGTATTTGAAAGGTTTGTAAACTAGTCTTTGAGATGGTAAAATATGATTGCAATGGAAGCCACATAAGAGGAACTGTTGTATCCATCAGGTCAGCTGCCTGTGGAGAAAAAGCCAGGACAGACTACAGGTGTTAGAAGGAAAGACAAAGTGAGAAAGTTTTACAAATTATGATTCCTTCAGTAGAATTTAACCAGTTAATATCAGCAGAAAGAAAAACACTTCTAAGTGAAGCTGAACTGAAAGTCGGTGCTTTATCTCCAGAGGCAGAATAGACCTCTGTCAAGAATTACTTTCCACCCATGTTTAATGATATGCTGATCTATTTGTGAACATGCCTGAAGATCTGGCAAGTTATGCACAGGCATGGCATCAAGATGTGCATTATGCCAAGTAGAGAAACTTAATGTTGCTTTTCTATGATAAAATCACAATTTAGACCACATATTTTCTTTTTAAGCCTTCCAGATGTTGTAAAAATAAAAAATTCATTTTGGGTCTGCACTCAGAGCAGCCAGTGAATCACAGAATCATAGAATCAACCATGTTGGAAAAGACCTCCGAGATCATCAAGTCCAACCCTTGATCCAACCCCACTGTGATTACTAGATCATGGCACTCGGTGCCACTTCCAGTCTCATCTTAAAACCTCCAGGGACGGAGAATCCACCACTTTCCTGGGCAGCCCATTCCAATTCCTGATTACTCTCTCTGTAAAGAATTTCTTCCTAATATCCAATCTAAACCTCCCCTGGCAAAACTTAAGATTGTGCCCTCTTTTCCTAGTGCTGGTTGCCTGGGAGAAGAGACTGACACCCACCTGGCAACAACCTCCTTTCAGGTAGTTGTAGAGAGTGATGAGGTCACCCCTGAGCCTCCTCTTCTCCAGGCTAAACAATCCCAACTCTCTCAGCCTCTCCTCATAGGACTTGTGCTCAGGAGAAGCTTTGAGTGCACTGAATAGCGCACTTAATACTGGAGATTCTAGTGATTTTTAGAGTCTATTTACAGTCTAGTTAGAGCTGGTTGAGAGACGGGATTGTCCCACTCTGCTCTGCACTGGCAAGGCCTCACCTGAAATAGTGTGAAGTTTTGGGCACCACATAAAAAAGACATTAAGCCATTAGAGAGTGTCCAAAGGAGACCACAAGGATAGGGAAGGTTCTGGAGGGGCCTTATGAGGAGCAGCTGAGGGCACTTGGTATGTGAAGAGGAGACAGAAGGGAGTCCTCATTGCAGTTATAACTTACTCAGGAGGGGAAGAAGAGGGGCAGGCACTGAACTCTGCTCTATGGGGACCAGGGACAGGACCCAAGGGAATGGCCTGAAGGTGTGTCAGGGCAGGTTTAGGTTGGATTTCAGGAAAATGTTCTCTCCCCAGAGGGTGAATGGGCACTGAACAGACTCCCCAGGGCAATGATCACAGTACCAAGGCTGACAGAGTTCAAGAAGTGTTTGCATGATGCTCTCAGGCACATGGTGTGACTCTTTGGGATGATCCTGTTCAGGGAACTCAGGATATTCTGTGGTTATACGACTCTTTAAGGTTACACATCAATTACCATTCAACAGCCAAAACAGTATTTCCTCTCACTAAGGCTCTCTGGGAAAGGGACAGGATTGCCTAATAGAGTCTTACAACTTAATGATGGATTTATCTGCTTTTAAGGAACACTGTGTTGTCAGGTTCCTTCCCTGAAGAGGTTTGTGCATGCTGAGCACAAAGGAAACACCTCTGAGCAGCAGGATCCTGTAGCTGCCACCACCTGAAGGCTATAAAACCATTTTCATCCAGTCTAACACTTTCTTCTTGCTAAGAGTTGAGAGAACTTCTAAGTCAGAAAATTGCGATGAAGACATTGTACCTTCATTTATGAATAAAATGTCTATACCAAGCCACATTTAAAACAGGGTAGCTTAACCCTCCCCACCCCCAGATATTATTTTATTATGTCATCCCTCAGTTTTGCCTGAAATACATGTTCTATAATCAATTATAAATAAAAAGTGCCTTATAAATAATGTTTTACAGCTTAGTGCAACCAATAAACTACAGCACAGAATGTTTTGATGTCTTCCAAAAATGAGCTATGACATATTGAAACGAAATCCATTTTTTTCATTTCCCATTCTAAAAGTTTACAGACAGTTCTCTTCTCTCACCCTTCAGTTAAACCTAAAGCATCATTTCTCTTTCTGCTGGTGATTTAGCCAGGCATATAGCCCTAGTAACACAGCCTTCTAAGTGACAATAAAACACAAATCTGAGCAATAGTGACATTTCCCTACACAATATCTCCGTTATTTTGATTTTGCAATTTTCAGAGATCCACAGCTATAATTATATGCTCACTTAGTGTCTCCTTTTCCCCTAGACATGGCAATTTGTTTTTCTTCATTTCTCTTCCAGACATGGACACTGTATTGTACTCCTGATAAAATGTTTCAAAGCAAAGCATTTGCACTTTGTGTGGCTTTGGTTATTTCTTTGTTTGGTTTGAAAAGCCTCAGAATGTTCAAAAGCTGAATGAACAGGAAAAACAAAACAAAACAAAAAAAAACACCAAAATACTCCAAGAGATAGATTTGATTCAAAGGTTACTTTTCATTGTATATTGAACTCTGGAATTATCTATGTTCTTTTGCTTATTTTTAATTAGTTTTTCTTAGCATAACTCTGTCATAGCCAGTTCAGAGGTTTTGGTTGTTTTTTGGTTGTTTTTGTTTTTTGTTTTTTGTTTTTTTTTTGGGGGGGGGTGGTGGTGTTTGTTTTGTTTTGTAATTATTATTCAAAGACAGAGACATTTTCATGTATTTTGCATTTTAGGACCCTTTCATTTTTTTTTCTAAGTTTTAAATTATCCCAAGTAGAAAACAAATGCCCTGTGGGCTCTTTCTATGATCATCCTACTGTGTTATTCCTTCAAGGGGTCAATTTAAGGTGTGGTTACAGCCTCATTTTTGTGCACAAATTCATATATTGACCTCTTTAAACTATTATACTTTGTAAGCTACCAGCATTTTATCTTTTGTTTCTTTGTACTACTTCTCTCTGTTGAAACAGGCCTACTTATTTTCTTAATGTCCAGGCGGAAGTTAAAAAGCTGTGCTTGCCTTCATTAGCCAGCAGAAACAAATTGCAGGGTCCCTACAGGGTTCTCAGATATGTCAAGAGAAGTCCAGTCCAGAAAGCCTGAAAATTCTGCTTATTAAGCCCCACCATCCTCTGTTCTCCACTGTTTTTTTCTTCATGGAGACACCAACAGTCCCCAGGCAGGATTGAGCTTCTGTGTGTAGGATGCTCTGCAACCTTGGGATGAAACAGACACCTTTGCCTTCAGAACACAAATGCAGGAACCATCACTGTTACTTTTTGGGAATAATAGAGAACTGAAATGAGATGATGCAAGGCAAAATCCCAGAGCTCTTCATTGGTTTTGGTTCTCCAACTAATTTATCAGTTGTATGTTTAAACTTGACCCAGTTTTCCACTGCACCCAATGAACAACCTGTTTAATTTTGGAGAGGATCAAGCCAATAGGTGACTGACAAATATTCCTTGCAGAGGAAACGGCTGTTGTTGAGGAGTCAAAGCCTCAGCTCCTACCTTGCCCATAAGCTCTCTAGCCTTTGTTTTGGCTCTGACTATCCTGGTGTGGTCTCCAGCTCCAGGAAAGTGCCAGTTTTTTATGGTAATGCACACAAAAAGTAAAAAACTCTTGTTGTTATTGGTGCTGGACCCAAGGCATGGTTGAAGTGGGAGGAGAGGGCACCCAGGACACTCAAGTGTCTCTTTCACATCCCTGGTGTGTTTGGGTAGAGAAGATAAAACTGTCTATAGAGAAGATAAAGTTTTCCATATGTTTTTAATATGTTACTATAGGTTAAATTGTAGGTGAAAAAAATTGTATCCAACCTTTTTTATTATTGTTTTGTTCAGCAAAAGATTTTTTTTTTATCTCTAACATGAGAAAAATTGCTGTTCTGGTTGTTTTTTGACATAATTTTATTAACTTAAGACCATGGTAAGTTACCCTAAACCAGACCAAGCATTTTATGATCTTGTCTCCTGTCTCCAAAACTGAAAATTGGACATTGTGACATGATTGTTAGAGGCATTTTCCATTAGTAGTTTGCTTGCATCCTGAAATGATGTTGTTCCTCTTAAAAGTATAAACTAGTCCCTGTTCAGAGTAGCTATTCTAACACCTGATATGACTCAGAAATGTTTTAATTTTTAATTTCTAAATTAAATAACAGTAAATTAAAATTTTTATAATATAGCTTATTTCTCAAGAATTTAACTTATACTGAAAAATGTTACAGTTTAATGGTAAAGTAAGTGTATTTTCTAGACAAGTTCTTTC